TACCTTGCAACACCGGCTACAAAAGTACCATGTGAATGCCAGTTCTCACTTTCAGGTGACATTGTAAATAAGAAGCAGGCAGCATTATCTCCCATAAATGTCAACAAACTTGTTTGTCTTAGCTCTTGACTGAACAAGAAGTAGGACTGAGTGGACTTGTAAGCTATAAAGTTTTACATTGTTTTGTTTCTGAGTGCAGTTATGTAACAAAAAATAATCTACATTTGTAAATTGCACTTGCATGATAAAAAGATTGCAGTAAGTACAATACTTGTATGAGATGAATTGAAAAATATTATTTCTTTTTATCATTATTACAGTGCAAATATTTATAATCATTAAAAATAATATAAAGTGAGCAGTGTACACTTTGTATTCTGTGTTGTAATTGAAATCAATATATTTCAATTGGTATTCTGTTATTGTTTAGCAGTGCAATTAAAACTGTGGTTTATCACAATTAATTTTTTTTTTTTTAGTTAATTGCATGAGTTAACTGCGATTAATTGATGGCCCTAGTATTTATGGCTATTTTGCAGTAGAGTTTTGGAATCTTTTAGGCTTATTAGACTCGCCAAGCTTCCTGTGTGGATCTAGCTCAGTAAGCTTGCAGTTAGCAAACTTCATGTCCTGCTTTTCTGTGACACTGTCCTTGGCCCTGAACAGTGGTGCCTGGCTCCAGCAGTCCTTGTGGCTAATGCCAAGCTGGATCCATGAACATTTTTTCCTTCTGTCAAAGGGCAACTGTTGCGAAGAATGATTGCCTTGCTTGGTGTTCCTAATCCCTGGAATATAACTGCTGTGACAAAGCAAAATAACCAGTTGGAGTAAGGTCTATAAATTGGCATCTTACAAATGCAGTGCTCCATATAGCGCTAGCTCCATATAGCACAGAAAATCCAAGTCTTATCTGTTCAAGCCCCATGGGACTCCCAAGCCTCTGATAGTTTTGGAATAACATTCTAGACTGGGATTTTCAAAGGCACTAAAGAGAGTTAGAAGCCCAAATTCCAGTGAATTCAATGGGAACTGAACTCAAAGACCCCTGGATTCCTTTAAAAATCTCCTCCATAATTATTGGAGGCTGAGAATGTTAATCTAACTGCTTGTGTGTGGGTATTAAAAGTGATAGTACTAATAAATCTTAAAATCTCCCTCCCCCACGGATCCATTTTGGGGCATCCCTGGGATTCAGCTTGATCTTGTGAGGGTTATATGCCTAGCTTGGAAATGGCTTTGTACCCACATTCCTGGCCTGTTACACGTTGATTGCATCGTCAGAAAGCAGAAGTGGATAGGGAAAGAGAAAGCTGACATATTATGACCTAAAAAGTCTATAAAGATTCTTATATATCACTAAACACAAGTGATTGAAATCCAGCCTCCAGCAGTGAAGCAGGAATCTGGCATTAACTACTTTCACATTTCTCTCTAGAGTTACTCTTTTGATATTTTAATTCCCAATTCACTGTGTTGGCTTTGTAGGGCAGACTTTAAAGATGCTGGCTCTAAGCGCTTGTCTACATTAGGGCTTTTTGCACTGCTATAGCTATAATAGTACAAACCCTATTGTAGATGCACTGACCTGGAATTAAGTGGGGTTTGCATTTATCCTGGTTTCACACCAGTGTACTCTCATATTACACCGATGCAATGCATCTACTCAGGGGTATGCACTTGTGTGCAGTTACACTGGTGTAGAGGTCCCTGCATTAGACAAGTCCTAAATTACCTTTCCACTGAAGAAATCACTATAAAAATCATAACATTTTAATGCTGACAGGAATGTTTGAGCTCCAGACTGTGCTTCTTACAGGAACATGCCAATATTTACTTCTAAGAGCTTCACTACATGAACAAGGTCTGTATTAAAATGTGTGCCACTCTGTTAAACATGTCATTTGGCCAAATGACCATTTCACGTGGGCATTTGAACAGGTGACTAAAAATCTGATCGGGATTGTTAGTGGCATTTCACTAGGACTAGAGCAAATTGCTTTCGTGTTTGTAGTTCCATGGAGCACCCCTATTTCACGCCACCATCTTCGCACCTGCAATCCCCTCTGTAGGGAGAGAGGCATTGCTAAGACTTCTTACCCTCACCCCCAGGCTTGTGTCTTCCCCCTGCCACTGCAGGAACAGTGGCACAATTTGCCTTCGGGCTAAAGCAGAACAGGAACTTCGTTTTCCATTTTATAGGAAATTCTGTGAGTTTGAATTCCTTTCCTATTCCGGAAAGGAATGAACACAAAAAATTTTGAAATTTGCCTCAAAACAAAATTCTGGGGAAAAAAAAAGAATTTGAAGTCAATCAAAGCATTTGTTGTTTAAAAAATCGAAATGTTTCATTCCAATGCCCACATCTAAATTTTTTAATAATGTAAAATAAATTTAAAAATAAAAAGTGATTTCCAAACAAAAAATGGAAATGTTCTGTTGTGAAAATGTCGAAATGGAACATTTTGACCTTATTGACCTTCCCCTGGAAGCAAAATTTTGGCACAATTAACACGTTTCTGCTAAATGTTTTGCTTTCAACGAATGGGCATTTTCCAGTGGAAAAAATTCCATCAGAAAATTTCCAGACTCTGCAGCAGCAGTGGTCCATCAGCAGGGATTTGGTGTCACCACTGTGCACGTCTGCCTTCCAGTCCTTCCTGCTGCTGCTCTGGCTGGGAAGACATGAGCAGGAGGGGCCATCTTCTAGCACCTTTCAGAACAACAGTTCACACCTGCTAGCTTCTTCCAGCAAACACAGAACCATTTTCAGATTACTGTCAAATCAAAATGTGCTAGCAGCAAGGAAGGCTGTAACTCTCATCACCCAGGTCCCAAGGTAAATTTTCTTTATGTTCAGCAGAGGCAGGTGGCAAAGTCTGAGGTGAGGTTTCTTCTGTACTGTTCTTCTGTTAGTTTCTTTGAATTGTTTTCACCTGCTCTTGTCTTCTGTTTCCTTTTTTCATTCCTTGCTTTTTGTTAAGTACATTCCATTCAGAATCCAAGTTATTATAGTGTTTTAATTTGAGGAATTTAACATACAGAAATCAAGGAAGGCCAAGAATAGATGAGGTCTCTGCGGATTTTTGTATTCTTAATGTTTGTGCCATCACCAGCATGACCACCCTTGAATTGTGTTTAACTGCAGGGGTTTCAGAGGGTTTAGGTGGGAAGTAGCAAAGTGGGGGAGTCAGAATAGGAAAGCTATAACAGGGGAAGGGGAGCAGCAGCATCACAAAAAGTTGCTGAGAGAAAAATAATGTTCCTGAAAGAAGCTGTTCAGTGAGATTCTTCTTCCATTGGGTCCATGGAATGCAGATGTTCAAGGACCAAGAAGTGCACTACCAACGTTTCATAAAGAAGCTAGAACACAGCAGATGAGGTCATTTAAGCCTTAGTTGTTCCAGTAAATGCGTACTTTGGGCCTGACCTTGCTGCCCACAAAGACCAAACTTCCCATGAAGCCCGAAGGGGTAGGCCTACACAACTGCTGGGAGCATGGCTCTCAGCCTGGATCAACAGACACTTGCACTAAGGGGCTCGGGCCAGCATGCTTAAAATAGCTGTGTAGACTTGGCTTTGACATTCAGACTTGGCCTGGAGTTCAGGCTCTGAAGCCAACCTCTGTCCCTAGGCTTCAGAGCCCAAGTGCCAACCCAAGTCGGAACGTTCATTTTGCTATTTTTTGCACTCTAGCGTGAGCCCGCTAACATAAGTCTGTCAACCTGGGCTGCAACACCTGCTCCCAAAAGCTATGGAGACATACCCAAGGAGTTCAGGAGTGGGCCCATAGTAATATCAAAGCATGTGTCATGTACAGCTGCTGGCTGATAGATGTTCTATTGTATTTATCAGCATGGAATACACTGCAGTATGTTTATTCCTTTGGCTGGTTAACTTGAGAAACTTGGCTTTCACAAATGCCTATCTGATGTAATGCCTCCATAACACTGGAGGGTTCTGGTGTGAGCGACCTTTTGATTAATGTGACTTTAAAGCAGGAAGCCCGGTCTCCTGGGATAGCTTATGACTAGGGAAGTGCTAATCAGAAGATGAACTCATGAGAAACACTGGAGACTTTTGCAGTTGTTTTAAGGTAAACACTATTATCTACTAGGAATAAAGTGTAGAAAATACACATACATTTTCTATTAAATCAATGTTAAGAACAAAATTTGCAACAGGTAATAGGAATCACCTTAAAACAACTGTGGAATTCTGTAGCTTCTGTCACAAACTATGGGCATCATCCTGCATTCCTTAAACAGACAAATTCATATTGGGGGCTATGGGAGCTCTCTGTGCCCGAGGACTCTGGGCTCGGGCACTTTGTCAAGAAACATTTGGTCTGGCAGCTTCTGGTTTCTTGAGTAATAGTCAATTTGCATTATATTTTATATTAAAAATGGCTCTTCATTGCCTTTTTTCAATTAGATGAAGTGATTATGCACTATTTGAAATAAGTTACAGTTTTCCATTAAGATCAACAAGCTCTTCATAAACCTGCTAATACAAACTGGAGATTTAGTTTGATTTCTGTTCAACATGAGCAATACAAGTAAGACAGGTAGTCACCAGCAAGTGCATTTCTGCAGGGGAGGTGACACGCATAGCTTTGTATACATGAGACTAGGAGTGCTCTAAAGAATCTTGGTTCTGCATGCTATACCAAGTCCTGCTACAAGCCTGATGTATTTTTATGCACAATAGAAAATAGCCATGTAAATGAGAGTAATTAGAATGAATCTAATCTGAGACACATATTAAGTCTTATGCTGCAGTTAAGACATATAGCTAATAAAAGCTGTGACCAAATGTATTTCTTTGTTGATTTAACATTCTCCCTCAGCCCTGCATCCCCAAATAGAATCCTCCCTGGAATCACATTGTTGCTGTAGCCTATGTGCAACCCTCTCTTTCAATGTTTAATCAAGTGCTGCTGAAAAGAGAAAGTTACAAACTATTTAAAATATGGAAAAATTGCTTCCCAATATTTTTGACAGAGAGAGACTGAGAACACACAGCATTGAATCATCAGGAAAATTGAAGATTTCCCCTGAACAGCATTGGGATTTTACTGCAGAGGACTTGAAAGACCTTGGAGAAATTGGACGAGGAGCTTATGGTTCTGTCAACAAAATGGTCCACAAACCAAGTGGGCAAATTATGGCAGTTAAAGTAGGTGATGCCCATAATTGTGTTTGTACTTCAGTTCATTAAGGATGGAACGTGATGGAGAATTAATATTCATCCGTCTGTGACTGTCTACTGTTCTGTTGTGTTTATCTCCAGTATAAAGGGTACTTGTGCTGAAAACACAGTGTGTAATGGGCATATCTGTCAAGTGGATTGTGAAGGTCTTATACCTTGCTTGTGCACTTTAAAAAACTGACTGTGCCTCTTAGGAAGCAACTGCAGTGGGGGGTTGGATGGCTCTGGAGACTGGTAATGGGATATGAGGCCTTTCACCTGCTGATCACTGGTTCAAATCCAGCTTAGGTTGGTAGTAAGCACAAGTTAACATCCAATGGCAGCTTAGTGTCCTTTGTGAAATGAGTTAGTGACTAAAGACTGGTTCCAACTGGACATGTATCCATGCTACAGCAATTGACAGCCTCACCAGAGAGGGCAGGAAATGAGTGGGCATGTTTTTAGAGAACATACTGCTCTCTCAGTCTCACCATGATGTGAAAGCATGGAGTGCCTCCTGTGCTGACCCAGTCCTGGAAACACAGAAGGTCTAAGCCTCCAGGGCTGTCCATTTGGTACTTTACACCAGCACCAAACTCATGCTTTTTTGTTTTTTAAATATTGTTTTCCTAGTTCTTGTGTAACATAAAATAATCTTTGTCTTTGCTTTAACACTGCACGTTGTTGGGGATTTTTGATTAGTCACCTGAAGGTCCAGTTTGCGGTGAGATGGGCAGTGGATGTTTTTTCACTCTGGAAGTGATGAATTCTCTCTTCTTTGCTTGTGCTGCATACCAGTTAATGATATCCGCCTCCTAAATCTAGTTACAGGTACAAAATAGTGACACATGCTCCCCTGGCTTCACTGGAAGAGTTGAAGTGTGCTCTGAACCCAAACTATCTAGAAGTACGTGTTACTTTCTTTAATGGTCTCTCTCTCCAAACACAGTCTAAGTGGGTCTAGACATGTTAATTCCCAGTGGGTTCATGTACTTGTTGGAGCCAGTTTGGGGATGTGTTGCAACCCTCTTGCTAGCAGCCATTCTATATGATAGAGAGATGGATACGACCCAGTTGCCCGAGATTTGTATATGTGCTGTCCCTGGGAACAACTAAAAAGTTCTTGGAGTCTCCAGCATCACTCCTCTTTCCTCTTACTTCCCCCAGCAACATGGCACCCTCCTTCCAGCAGACAGGAGGTCAGTTATGCCTTTTGGAGTTGTTGGGATGGGCATAGCAGAATGATGCCTGGCACCTTTCCTGACTCAGGGACAGAGCTTGCTGCTGCTGCTTCAGCACTCCCAGCCTCACCAAGCCCAGTGAGTGGGAGATGGAAGGAGCCACTGGAGAGCACTGTGAGGCACTCCTTACCATTGGACTCAGCGGGTGGGCTGTGCCACATTCCTCAAGGCAAGTAGTCTTGATGTTGAAGTTGTTTAGGATTAGCTTTCCCCACAAAGCCGATCCTGAGCTAGCTGCTGGAGCGTGTACTGGACATGGCTTTCTCTGATTTTTGTGACTGTTGCTCTTTGGGCAGTCCGGGAGGTAGGGCAGCCTCTTTAGACCAGCTGGACCCTATTGTCCCTCATGGGTTCCTGGTGCTCTGTGATGGGTCACCACTGGGTTATTCCTCCTCTCCTTCCTCGCACAGAGAGAGGCTCCTCTCTCTCTAGCTTACAGTGTGACACCAGCAACTGACTCTGTTCCAACTCCCAGTGTCTTGCCTCTGCTTGAAGAAGCAGTTGATGTGGTTTTCTAATCCTCTCCACTTTCTGTCTGCAGGCAGGAGCTTTCCTCACTATTTTGGTTTTTCTCCCTCTGCCTTGTGCCCCCCTTGGCAGGAAGAGGATTTTTGAGAACAGGAAACTGGTATTTAAAGAGAAAACATGGCAGGGCAGCAGGCCCAGCTAAGATCAAAGAACTCCTGCACGTGCCCAGCCACACATTAGTGTGCCATCTGCTCCACTTTACAGCAGGGTGGCAGGCAGCAGGGAGTGAAATTCAGCAGGAGGAGCTGGCTTTGCAGACTCTTCAAGCTGGTTGTTCATAGCTGCTTGGTGCTTCAGGCCAAGATGAAGCATCGACTCCAACAGCAGTGATGTAGCAGACAAGCTTTCAGCTGTGCGGGCTGGTCATTCAGCAGCAGAACGTGACGTTTTGGAAGTGACAAGTCAGAGACCCGTGGCTGTTGTCTTCTGTTCTGACTGGGGTGAAATAAAGTTCCCAGGAATGTGTCTGTAAATGGTGGATTCTCTGTGACTTTAAGTCTTTAAACCATGATTTGAGGACTTCAGTAACTCTACCAAAGTTGAGTCATCTATTACAGGAGTGGGTGAGTGGCCTGCAATGTGCAGGGGGTCAGACTAGATGATCATGGTGGTCCCTTCTGACCTTAAAGTCTGTGAGAGGCTGGAAGTTAGAGCGGCAGGAAAAATCCATGGTGCAGGACCCAGTCCCCCCATCCCTTTCAGGCTGACATGGTAACCAGGTATTTTTGCTCCACTTGTTCCAGAAAGGGCCATAGCCATTTCTGATTGTGGTTGCTATCTTGAACCCCCGTCTCCTCAGTGGATCTCGCTGACCTCCAGGCCAGGTCTGACTCCTACAGGCTAGAAACAAACCACAGTTTAAAAAATGAACAAACAAACCGAGTTCCCCTAGTCCAGTGGCTCAGCTTCCCCATATTTACTCCCTGTTCTTGTACATTTGGGCAGCATGGGGTTCTGGGCACTGAGCCTGTTCTGTCAGCTCCCTCAGATAGGTCATTTGTGCAGCAAGGCCTTGCCTTTCATTTTCCACTTCTTCCACTGGCTTTTTCTTCAGAGAGTCAGCAGAGTGGTGCAGCCCATACTACTAGCCTCCTGGTGTCCATAAGCCCACTGTTCCCCTAGCTGTCTCAAGTTTAACCTACCTCAGTCTTCCATTTTACCACTGCTTTCTCTGTGTCTTCTTTATCGCGGGATGCAGCAAAGTGGTCTAGCCCATACTGCTAGCCCATCAGTGTCAGCAGAGCTCCTGTTTTCTGTTTGGCCTTCCTTAGGTAGCCAAACTTCTCCTAGAATACTGCTTTTCTTACCAAAGCAGCAGAGCAGCCTAGCCCGTCCTGCCAGCCTGCATGTGCCAGTCCCCACCAAAGTAGCTGGTATCTGCAGGCAGATGTACTATTAAGTTTTCTTTTTTTAGTTTCCTTTCATACATGCTATAATGGTTTAGCCAACCATTTTATTGAGCCTAGCAGCAGCTTTCATCTAAGTATTACTGCTGAAGCTAGTTGCTCACACCATCAGCCTGCCAGCTTCAATGGACAATCCAAAAGGCTGTGATCCTACATTAAAATGTCAGCATTAAGGGAGGATGGTGCACCATTTTGTTGCACAGGTGTAAAAACACTTCAGCAAGGCTTTAAACCTCACACAGCATTACTGCATGAGCAAAGGACTTCAGCATGAGTGCTCATGCCCAGCTCTGCTTCCCTCTCTTCCCCTTATGATCCTCTGCATGTGTATGTTTAAAAGTAAATAAAAAATATAAATGTATTCCCATGTCTCTCCAAGAGCCTGGGGCAGAGCTGGGGGCAGCGGGTAACTGAAAGGGGTGGGGGGGGGGAGAGCAAAAATAAGAGAAATACCGTAACAAACAAAAACATGCACCTTGGGCTTCTCCATGTTTCCCTCTTAGAAGAGAGCTTTCTAGAACCAGGAAACCAATTATCTTCTGCACCACTAAGGGAGCTCTGTTGTCCCCACTCAGTTCCTGGTCAGTGGTTGTCCCAGGAAGCTCATCAAAACAAGTACCTAGAGTTGCAAGTAGTTAGGAAGGTGAGCTCTCTATCTGTAAGCCTCCCTCTTGATTTGTCTACCGCCTCGTCCAGCCGTTAGCTAATGTTATACCCTTTGGTGCTAGATTGAAGAGCTCATTATTAAATATTTGTTCCCTATGTAGGTACTTATGAACTGTAATCAAGTCATCCCTTAATCTTCTCTTTGTTATACTAAAAAGATTGAGTTCTTTGAATCACTGTAAGGCGTGTAATCCTTTCATCAATCATGGCTCTTCTCTGAATCCCAGTTTATCATCATCCTTGAATTGTGGACACCGGAACGGGACACAATATTCTAGCAGAAGACATACCAGTGCCAAATACAGAGATAAAATAACCTCTTCACTTCTACTTGAGATTCCCCTGTTTTTACATTCAGGAACTGCATTAGCCCTTTTGGCCACAGTATTGTATTAGCTGATTATCCACCAGGATCCCCCAAGTCCTTTTTCAGTCTCTGAGCTTTCCAGGATAGAGTTCCCAATCCTGGTAAGTATGGCCTGCACTCTTTGTTCCTAGATGTATGTATTTACATTTGGCTGTAATAAAATACATATTGTTTGCTTTCGCCCAGTTTACCCAGTGATCCAAATCGCTCTGTATCGATGACCTGCTCTTTTCATTACTTACCAGAACCCCCAATTTTTGTGTCATCTGCAAATTTTATCCATGATGATTTTAAGTTTTCTTTCATTTCATAAAAAAAAATGGTAAATTGCATTGGGCCAAGAACCAGTCCTGCAGGAACCCACTAGAAACATACCTGTTGGATTATTATTTCCCATTTACAGCAACATTTTGAGGCTTATCAGTTAGCCAGCTTTAAATCCATTTATTGTGTGACATGTTAATTTTATATCTTTCTAGTTTTTTAATCAAAATGTCATGCGGTACCAAGTCAAATATTACATCAACATTATTATCTTTATCAACCAAACTTGTAATCTCATCAAAAAATTATATCAAGTTAGTTTGACAGGATCTATTTTCCATAAACCCATTGACTGGCATTAATTATGTTGCCCTTCTTTAATTCTTTATTAATCGAGTCCTGTATCAGCGGGTCCATGATCTTGTCTGGGATTAATGTCAGATTGACAGGCCTATAATTATCTATGTTATCACATAAGAACGGCCATACTGGGTCAGACCAAAGGTCCATCTAGCC